ATAAAACAGCAGAAGTAAAAGCAGGGAAGAACAGGAGAGGAAGGGGAAGGATGGACCAACAGCCCCCAAGCAGCCAGTAGTGTCCCTCAGAGCACCTGGGGCAACCAGGAAGCTCCAGGATGGAAGAACTGTCTCAGCCAGACTTCACCCTCTCCTTGGTGCCCTTCCATCCTCCTGAGAGCTGGCAGTGGGTGAGATGGGACTGAAGCAGCACTCTGATCCTGGCAGCCTGGGATAAAGCTGGTGCTGCAGGATGAACCCAGGCTCGGACCAGTGTGTAACTGGCATCAGATGGGGCACTGAAAAGCCCCATTGTGGGTGCCCTGAGTGAAGCTCTGCTTCTTCCAAATTCACAAGTGCTGCCTTGCTCAGGTTACTGCTCTCCTGCTTCCCCTCAGGCCTTTCCCCTTTGCAGAAACACCTTCACCTCCAGAATCACTTGTTCAGCCCTGGGGTGACTCGTGCAGGAACCCCAAAGGTGCTGCAGAGCCCCAGGGGGTCCGTGACCCCCTCCCTCCCCCTGGCAGTGCAGACATGGATCCAGTCTGTGCCCAGAAACCTCCCAGGGCACAGCACTGAAACACTGGGCACGGGAGGCCTTCAAAAGGACATTTTCCCACTGAAAAATGTGATCACGTCTGAGCCTGGAATTCTGTTAAAGCCTGATCTCTACACAAGGAACACGTGTCCGTGATTTATCTACACAGGCCTGGAGCTCTCGAGGCTACAGTTTTTAATCAGCACTATTTGCATTACATAACGCCTTTTATTTCAGTCTGCATTTTGGTTTAATTAGTTCTTTGTTAAATACATCAATGGCGACTCTTCCCTGCCAAATAATTCCAGATTAATTGCATTTGTTAGATCTTCTTCTTTTTCTTGTTTCTCATTTTCTCTGTGTTCCAAGGAGGTAGTGCATTTGGAAATTAATGTTATTTTCAAATCATTGTACAAACTCCTGGGCATATTCCAAATAATAAACCTGAACACTCCCAGCTCTGGGTGTTCCTCACCAGCCCAGGAGGATGGAGGTGTGGCCATGCTGTCCACCAGGATGTAGCTGATGGGTGATCTGATTCCTGCTGTGTGGAAATATGCATCCAGGTGCTGGATTTCAGGGAAGAGTTATCCTCCAGGGCACGGTGCAGGACAGCCCTGTTCCTCTGTGCATGAGCAGCACACAAGCACAGAATTCATGGGAGAGTCCCCCTGACAGATCCTCAGTGACATTCCAGGGGGTGATCCGGGCTTTGTCATTCACTATTTAAAAGCTTCTCCCGGTGCCCCACAGTGCCGGGAACAGGCAAACTGGGCAGGCACTTTCCTGCCTGGAGGATGGAGTCTTTGCTCCTTTGGGAGCAGGTTTCCCCATTTTTTCTGAGGCTGCACTGTATATTCTAAGGATTCACATGTGTTTTGTGCTGACTGACTTGGAAAAGCTCTTGGGAAATGCTGCTCTTCCTCTCCCCATCACAGAGAGCAAATTCCACTTGCTGTTGTTCCCTGGAAAGCTCTCCTTGCCTCATGCTGTGGCTTTGCTGCCTGCCCTGGGTGACAAGGCTTCTGGGACAGACTGGGCATGTCCTGTGGCCCTCAGGGCTGGGTTTGGATTGGATGAACCCTGTGGACATTCCCAGCTCGGTCTCTGCTCCTCGTGTCCCTGATGCTCCCGGGGACCCGGCCGTGACCTGCTCGTGCCTGGGACTGTTCCAGCCTCAGGAGAGATTTTAAGGGAAAAAAAGCCATGTAAACAGACAAACCACAGCAGCCAAAGCATCTGGAAATCCAACTGCTCTCCCAAAGTGGAGATCTCAGCACTGCTCCCCTCATGCCTTGGGATATGGGGGGGTCCTCTAGAGCCCCCAGCTGGGCTGTGCTGGGCACAGAGCAGCTCATGGCCTGGGGGTGACCTTCCTTCACTTGGCAGGATGGTATTTAGCGATCCCAGGGGACACCGTGGCACAGACTGGCTTTCCCAAATCTCCAGGTACTGCAGAGTGGCAGCAGATGGGAAGCAGGACACAGAACCACGGGATGTAACTTTGCTGGGACATCCACTGGACCTGACAGTTTATGAGCCACAAACTCAGTGTGATACAAACCAAACCCTGTGACCCACCTGTGCCAGGCTTTGCTGGTTTGCACAGCCCGTGTTTTCACATTCCCATCTTTCCCATTTTGTTGCTTTGATCCTGCAAGGTGACATTCCCTGGGAAGGGCAGCCACGTGGATCTGCCCGGACAGCTGCTGGGACACAGACCTGCCATGTCTGCCTGCACAGGGCACAGTGCCCATGGCCATCCTGTGGCCTGGTGCTTGCTCCCTGCCCACAGGAAGGAGTGGGGATCCCAGTACAGAGCTCTGGGACAGGGGCAGTGGCACTGCTGCCCCTGCTCCAGCAGCTCCCAGTGCTGGGCTCTCGGAGCTCCTTCTGCACAACCAGCACCCTCAGGGGGTCTGGGAGTGCCCTTCTTCCCCAGAACCCGCAGGAAGCCTCCCTCAGGTTCTAGCCCAGAGGAAAGTGATGCTGTGTTGCAGGGAAATACATCTGCAGACAATCAGCACCTCACCCTGTCCCAGATTTTGGCCATGTGCATCCCCGAGCAGAGCTGGTTCCTGACCATGGGTAATACACTTTGGTATGTGAAAATATCAAGGAGGGAATGAATGGCAAACCTTTCTTTCCTTTTCAAGATGTATTACTGTCAGTGGCAGCCCTATTCCATTTTCACATCAGGAGCAGGAAATTCATTATTAATCTTGCTGCTGGAATGATCCACATTGCTATCCTTGTCTCTGTGTTCCTTATCTCATTTTTCTCGGCTTCTCCTTCTATCCCTCTTCTGTGCAGCCCCAAATGATTTCATGTCCAGGCGCCACTCACTGTTTAGTCTCATGAAGGGAAATGTTAAACAGCTTTCTTTCATTTATGTTCAGCTCTCCTCTCACACGTGCAGCAATCTCACAGACTCGGGTGCTCACACTGCTCCTTACAGGAATATTTCATGAGGGCACAGCTGTGGTGGCTGCCCCTGGATCCCTGGAAGTGTCCAAGGCCAGATTGGACAGGGCTTGGAGCAACCTGGGATAATGGAAGGTGTCCCTGCCCATGGTAGGGGGTGGAACAAGATGAGCTTTAATGTCCCTTCCAACCCAAACCATCCCAAAGCACAGTGGCCAGGAGAGCCCAGTGTGACCCACCCCCTCAGACAGTGGCCACGTGCCAGCCTGTGCCCAGGGCACTGGCACAAAGCAGAGGGGGTGGCCTGGCCAGTAGGGGCCTGAGGGACAGTGTTGGAGCACCAATACCCACCAGACCTTCCAAACTGGGGGTCCTGGTTTGTAACCACAACTCCACCTGATGGTCCAGGAGCTTTAGCAGACCTGCAACAAGGATACCACCAAAACACTGCTCTGCAGCTGGACTTCTCCTCCAGAACTTCCCACAGGGAGAGAATCCTTTGGGACTGAGGGACTGACTTGCACTGAAGTACCCCAGAAATATTTTCCACAAACAGGAAAGCTTCAGTGTGATGTAGCTGTGCCCTTGGGCAGCAAGAGCTACCTCGAGGGGGTCTGTGAGAGCCCTGAGACAAGGGAAGACTGTAACACTGAGAAAAAAAGCAAAAAACAGAGATGAAACGTGACACTCTGCAGTACCAGAAGGTGTTGCCAGTGATTCCCAGAGTTACACATTAGTACAACATTATTTCTTTAAAGAACAGCCACTGTGACAAACTCACCTGCGGGTTCTGGAGCAAGAAGGCAGAAGTGTGTGTCTCCATTATCCTCACACTGTGTCCATGTGTGAGGGTAAAGGGCAGGGATTGTAAAGCTGAGCAGATGATGGGAATGCTGCCCTTTGCTGCACTGCCTCCACGTGCAGGGATGTCACAGTGCCGGGGAAAGGGCGGAACAGCAGCTGAGGTGGAGACACAGAAATGAAATGATCTGCCAGGCTGCAGCATCCATCTTCCAGGTTAATGATTCATAAGGGACCCATGAAGGTCAAGGACTCTCTCAAGTGTCTCCTGTCTGCTTGAATCCCAAAGGAAGCAGAGGGAAAGGTAACTGGGATGGATACACTTGTGGTAGGATAACCTGCTCTGTTGGGAATCCAGTCCCGAGGGTTCTGCAGGTGTGTCTGGGGCTATGGAACCCCTGCAGGGCCCAGAGCTGGTGAGAACACCCCACACCCTGTACCACCTGCTGTGGTACAGGGCTGGATGTGGGCAAATGGGGTGGGAGGGATTGGAGCCACACCTTGGATGTGCCTCTGTGGGCTGGTGCACAGGAACCCCCTCTGTGCTCAGGCAGGATGGGAGTTAAGGGGTCTTGGCCACCCACAGCGCCAGGGAGGGTCACAGGTCAGGAGAATGCAGGAACATTTCTGTGTCATCTCTTTCCTGGGTCGCAGCCCCCATGATGAGAGCAGAGAGGGTGCCAGGGTGAGCCCTACAGGGTGGCTCCTTGCTGACAGAGGATTCCACCTGGACCCAATCCCGTGCCACATGCTCCGGGATGACCCTGCTCGAGCAGGGAGGCTGGACCAGGTGACGCACTGTGGGCCCTTCCAGCCTGTCCCATTCTGTGGTGCTGTGATCCTGCCAGGCTGGCAGAGCCTCTGCAAGGTCGCAGGAATGCACAGCACCTCCATCGACCATGGGAAATGGTGAGGGAGAGCAGCACATCCCGTGTTAAGCCTGGAAGCACCCAGGAAGGGCAGCCCCCTGTCCAGGATGATCCTGAGCCTCTTCTGCTGCCAGCCCAATCCTTCCTGGTCACACGCCTGCAATTCAAGGCTAATTCTCCATGTGAAGCTGAAAGAGCACATGTGATGGCTCTTCTGGGAAGAGGACATGGGATCTGAGCGCTGATGAGCTCGAGGGGTTTGCAATTGTTGTGGTTTAAGGCTCTAGAAACAGATAATGTTACACCAAGGTCAAGTGTTTTGGATTACCACTTCTGCACTTCCCAGCTCAAACAATCTTCCAGCAAGGTGAAACTTCAACCGACTTTATTACAGCAATTGTTCCCAAGTAAATCCTGTTTCCTGATTTTCTAGGCAGGCAGAAATAGAAATAATTGGAATTAATTGCCGAGTAATCTTTTTCCTACATGGTGATTTTCTCATTCTCCAGGGTCTGAAATTGGCTGCGGAAGAGACTCGGAGTCTTTGAGCCTCCACTTGTGGGATTGGGCTGCATTTACAGGATACTGAATGGGATAATTCCTGAGGGTATCAACCAAACAAGTCCTGCTCCAGGAACAAAGGAGGATTCCTTCCATGCCCAGGCAACAGGACAGAACGACCCGAGCACTTACTTTTCAAGGCACAAATGGTCTGGAACTTGCTGACCAGCAAATTATTGCAGCAGCACTTCCAGAACCTGCTTCAGCATTTTGTTCCCTGCTTTCCTAAAAAGGTGAATCATGGTAAGGTCTTTAGTAGCCCAGAAAAAACAAAGCAAACAGATGAACAAATAACAACCCAACAGAGGGTAGCAATTAAGTGAAGCAGAAGTGAGAATTTACAGAAACAAGGAATTTAGGCCCCAACCTAATAATGACCACAACCACTGACCCAAGTGCTGGAGAACCTTTCAAAATAATGGGAGGAGAAAAATGCACATGATATTAATGCAAATCCCTTGGCATGGAGGAATGGATGGTGCCCCTGAGCCTGCCTGGGAGGGACTGTGATGCTCCACACAGACTCTGACAAAGCCCAGGTTTGCTGCTGGCTCATAGCTGGGGGGAGGTTGGATTCCAGTGGCTGCTTCCAAAATTTTTCTAGACCAAACATTTATGATTCCTTAAAGCTCTCCAGGATGGTGACTTGGTATCTGAATGGCTCCTTACCTGTTTGTTTTCCTGGAGAGGAAATACAACAGCATTAGGGGAATTAAATCACTGGCTGTTGTGTAATCTCCAAATGTAGTTGTGACCTGACCAGCTGAATGTCACAGCCTGAGATATCGTCAGTATGGATCCAAACGGAGTTTCCATCCCACAGCAAATTACTGGGGTTGGTCACTGCCCTTCCCTGCCCTGTGACAGCTCTGATGGGATGGAGATCCCTGCAGGAACTGCCCTACTGCTGAATTCCTCCGTGCACGGGAACAGTGCGGGGACATGTCCCTGGTGACTGATTGTGACATGTAGGCACAAGAGCCTACTAAACACACAAACTAACCTTAAAAAGGTGTGTTTGCATAGGGAGGGTGTAAAAAGGAGGGAAAACAATGAAAAGGCATTTGCTGAACACAGGCCTCTGCCACTTATTTCCCATCTGTTCAACCAACCTCGTCCTATTAGGAATGATTAATGTTTGAGGGACAGGGAAAATAAAATAGCCATAATAAACAGGCACTGCTAATAATTACCACTTAGTTTTGTGTTCTGGTGAAGTAATGGCACAACACAGTGCTGAGTGTTAACACTCAGTCCCAGTCACGGTGATGAGCAGGGGCTTCACAGTCCCCTGCCCACTGACACAGCAGCCAACTGGGTGCCACAAGGGAGTCAAGAACAGGGCATTCTCTGGGAAAGAAGCAGATTTAGTGCCTCATAATGAAATATTTATATTTTTCTAATCATTCTGTCAGATTCCTTTAGCAAGAGGGTTTGCAGAGGAGCAGAAGCTGTTCCTGCAGGCCAAGAGAAATGGGGTCGTTCCCAGCACGCTGCAAGGGACTGCCAAGGGAGCTGGGAGGAAAACAGTGACTCCTGAAACAGGGCACTATAAAACTCAAACAATAAGAAGTACAGAAGACACAAACCTTGGCCATGAGCTCTGATGACACATCTGGTATTAAAAATTAAAAATCTCTTTCCCTCACTCTTCCCATTGTGCCAATGACACCACTGTCCATCTTCAGTAGGTGGTGGCACCCACGTTCCTAAATTAGAAGTCCCAAAAAGCCTTCTTATCCAGATGAGGTTAATTGTTGGGATTTGCCCTTATGTCTCCAAGGAAGGTTTTTTCCTTTAAAGCAATTAAAAAAAAAAATAAAAGCATAGGAAACAGACCCAAAGTAGCCCCTGGCCTCTGCTCAATTCCCACACAAACCCACCCCCAGGTGAGGACCAAGGAGGGGGGGTCCAGCCCTGCCTTGGCCAAGGAGCCAGGAGTCCCCTTGCTACAGTGTTTCCCATTTTTGCCCTTTCCTTCCATCTTTCCTCCTTTCCAAAAGGCAGAAAGAAAATAAAATGTCCCTTCACACCTTCCCAGGGCATTTGGCCTCGTTTCTTCCCCAGTCCTCGTGCAATAGCTTGGCTTTCCACTCCTGATAGTGCTGTTTGAGACTCTGAGATCAGCTGTCATGGGAATGACAATGGTTGGAGTGAATCACTGGTATTGAACACCCCCAAAGGAGCTGAACGGGATCTCGAGTAAGATGGACACATCTCCTGTGAGAGGCACTGCACAGGATCCAGTGAAAGTATTTCTCTGTTTTCCTTAAAATGTTTCCAAGGGAAATGCTAGAAACTGTCACCTCACCCTGAACCCGAGGAGGGAAACTTCACTGCTGAGAAATAAAGAAGCACAACAGTTAAATATGGTTCCTGTTCAGCCGAGGAAACATCCTCACTGACACTTAAAAGAGAGAGATGGAAGCTCATTAAATGATCTGCAGAGAGCAGCTTCTTAACTAAAGCTGGGGACAATCAAAGCAGGCTGAGCAATGGCAGTGGCTCCGGCGGGGGCTCACGGGAGCGGAACAAAGGCCCGGTGACCTGGAACACCACACGGAACAAATGAAACCATATTTCCAAAGCCACGGCCCCAGAAGCCACTTAAGAACAGTTGTTTTACAGCATTCCAGTGGCTTCATTGAGCCCTGCAAAGATCCCACCTGAACTGTGCACTCCAGAGCATCCCGGGGTGAATGCTGCTGTCCAGCCCTGCCCTCGGAGAGGGGACACACTGGGACACCTGGAGAGGGGACACACTGGGACACCTGGAGATGGGACACACTGGGACACCTGGAGAGGGGACACACTGGGAAATCCAGAGAGGGGACACACTGGGACACCTGGAGAGGGGACACACTGGGACACCTGGAGAGGGGACACACTGGGACACCTGGAGAGGGGACACACTGGGACATCTGGAGAGGGGACACACTGGGACACCTGGAGATGGGACACACTGGGAAATCTGGAGAGGGGACACACTGGGACATCTGGAGAGGGGACACACTGGGACATCCAGAGATGGGACACACTGGGACACCTGGAGAGGGGACACACTGGGACACCTGGAGAGGGGACACACTGGGACACCTGGAGATGGGACACACTGAGATATCCATGGCCATGGTGACATGGCCAAGGGGTGGGTCTGGGGGGTACAGGGCCCTGTCCTTCTGCCCCTCCTGCTCACGAGCCCCACGGGCTGGGCAGGTTACACGGATCTTCCCCTCCAAAAAGAGGGAATAATGACTCCCAGGCCACAGCTGGCTGGAGAATTGCTTGTTGCCCTCTCCCCTCATAGAAATCACAGGATCACAGAATGGTTTAGGTTGGAAAAGCCCTCTGAGACCATTGAGTCCATCCATTCCCCCAGCACTGCCAAGGCCACCACTGACTGACCCCTGTCCCCAAGTGCCACATCCACAGGGCTTTTAAATCCCTCCAGGGAAAGGGACTCACCCCTGCCCTGGGCAGCTGTGCCGGGGCTGGACAGCCCTTTCCAGGAGGAATTTTCCCACTATCCAACCTGAGCCTCCCCTGGCACAGCTGGAGGCCGTTCCCTCTCCTCCTGTCCCTTGTTCCCTGGCAGCAGAGCCCGACCCCCCCCGGCTCCCCCCTCCTGTCAGGGGGTTGCAGAGCCAGAAGGTCCCCCCTGAGCCTCCTTTTCTCCAGGCTGAGCCCCCCCAGCTCCCTCAGCCCCTCCTGCTGCTCCAGACCCTTCCCAGCTCCGTTCCCTTCCCTGCACACGCTCCAGCCCCTCACTCTTTCCTATTGTGAGGGGCCCAGAAGTGACCCCAGGACTGGCAGTGCTGGCAGAGCTGTGCAGAGGGGGCTCTTCTCCCCTGGTGCCCCCCACCCCAAGCTCTTCTGGCATTGTTGGTCTCACCACAGCAAAGCCACCCAGATCCCTGAATTTAAAATGAATGTTTCTCTCTCTTCATAACAGATTCCAAAGACAAGTCGGTCTGTGCAACGTCTGAAAAATACTGATCAGCCAGAATATCCTTGTACTCCTAAGAAGAAAACATAATGAAGTTACAGATGATATCACACAGCTGGGATGACCTCTAAGGGATGGGTCATCTATTCCATCTACAATGAACTTTAAGGAATATTTTAGGCTGTTCAACATTTCAGCTGTGATTTTTCCCCTAAAAGAGAAAAAGAAAAAGCCCATCTTTTCCTGCCACTGTTCTGTCTTTTAAATTCTGGGGACGATCGACTGTGCTATTTCAGACATACTCAACTATACAATAATCCCATCATTCATAGCAAGTAGTCCTTGCCTAAAAGGGAAGGATATTAATCCTTAGTGCTGTATTTAAATTGCAGGCATTAACTCAGGAGGGGGCCCCCTGTGCAGGGAACTACAGCCATATATCTCACTTTCTGCAGCCACATCTCCTTGGAGGCCAGGCTGGCACCTCTGCCCTCCTCAGCTCTCCAGGGAATGTGATGGCCTCAGCACTTCTGACACTGCACTGGCTCCTTCATCCCAAACTATCCACTGGCTCAGCAGATTGGGTAATGGGTGTCATTCTCCATTTCATGTGGGATCAAGACAAGATGAGATGGAGTCTGAGTTACTGTCTCAAGAGTCTGCTCAGGACACGCTCAAAGAGACCAGTAGGGCATTTGCAGCCCACATTTTGTCATGTTCATAAACTGCAGCCTTAACTTTCCCAACCTATCAATCTTTCATCTCTCTCAAGTGCTAAATTAATCCTATTTAAGAATGTCAATTAAACCGGTCAATTTTTTGATGGTATTAGAAAGCACTTGATATCTTTGCTGCCCTTTAATTTATGAAACAGGAGAGAATAATCCTGCAAAAATAAAGCCCCTCCAGCCATAAGCTTGGCTGTAAAATATTCATTTTTAATGACATTATGTTGAAACAAAATCTTTTTTCTCTTTTTGTAAACAGAATGAAGATTATATTATGAAAGGAGGTATTAATGCAAAAATGAACCTACAAAGGCAAAGACAGTGGGGACTGTGCTACTTTGCAGTTTTTAAGGAGTCAACCTTGACCAAAATTTCAGAAAACACCTTAGCAGAAACTTATTTTCTTAATAGACAACAAGATTTTGTCCTCTTTTTCCTCTGTTAGTATTTTAAGGAAGGAAGTGAACAGATTTGTGTCTCTTCCAGTGATGTGAACTGGAAGAGTCCCAGTTAAGCCAATGAGTTCTGTCCCAGCC